TAATTGACCCCTCCACCCTGGGAAAAAGTCTCATACTTTCCACTCTATCCATGCCATTCACAATCTTATAAACTTCTAACAGGTCACCCTTCGACCTCTTGCATTCCAGTGAAAACAACTTTTGTTCATAGTTAAAATCCCCCATACGAGACAACATCCTAATAAACCTTTTCTGTACCCTCTCCAAAACAGCCACATCTTTCTGGTATTGTGATGACCAGATGCGATATTCCAAGTGTGGCCTAACAAAGTTCTATAAAGCTGCAGCATAACTTGTGCATCCTTATACTCAATGCCCCTTCCACTGGAGGCGAGCGTGCCATAGGTCTGTTATTTTTAATACCTTGCCTACCTGTGCTGCCACCTTCAGTGATCTGTGAACCTGCACACCCAATTCCCTCTGCAAATCAATGCTCCTAAGGGTTCTGCCATTCCCTGTATAATTTCCAACTGTACTTGACTTTCCCAAATGTATCATCTCACATTTGTCTGGATTAACTTCCATCTGCTATTTTTCTGTCCATGCCTCCAACTAATCTATATCCCACTGTGTCCTCTGACAATCCTTCTCACTATCTGCAAACATAGTAATTAGACCAGGTACAAATTATTTATCTCAACCATGAACAGCAGAGGTCCCGGCACTGATCTCTGTGGAACACCACAAGTCACAACCCTGAATTCCAAAAAGCATCCTTCCACCGCTACCCTCTGTCTGTCTCCTATGACTAAGCCAGTTCTGTATCCATCTTGCCAGGTCACCCTGATACCACGTGACCTCATCTTTTGCACCAATCTGCCATGAGGAACCTTGTCAAAGGCTTTCCTGAAGTCCGTGTAGACAACATCAACCGCTTTTCCCTCATCAATCATCGATCAAGTTAGTGAGGCAATACCTCCCCCACACAGAACCATGCTGTCTATCACTAATAAGTCAATTTGGTTCTCGATGCATATAGGTCTTTTTCCTGAGAATCTTTTCCAATAATTTCCCTAACACCAGCCTGAGGCTCACAGGCCTGTAATTTGCTGGATTATCCCTGCTACCGTTATTAAGTAATGGGACAACATTGGCTATTCTTCAGTCATCTGGGACCTCTCCGTGATCAAAGAAGATGCAAAGATATCTGTCAACACTCCAGCAATTTGTTCTCTTGCCTTCCTCAATGTTGTCCAATAGATCCCATCAGGACCCAGGGACTTATGTATCTTAATACTTTTTAAGATGCACAACACCTCTTCCTTTTTAATCGCAACTTGGCTTAGAAACTCAGCACTCCCTTCCCTGAGATCATACTCCACCAATTCTAATATATATAATGCCTTGGGGTTCTCCTTAATTCTGTTCACTAATGACTTTTCATGACCATTTTTGGCCATTCTAATTCCTTGTTTAAGTTCTTTCTTACTTTCCTTACATACTTTAAGGGCTTCGCAGCTCCTAGACTTTACATATGCTTCCTTTCTCTTTTTGACTAAGTTCATAACATGCCTGGTCATCCAAGGTTCACGTAACTTGCCATATGCATCTTACATTCTCGCAGGAATGTGCCGCAGCTGAACTCTTATCAGCTGCCATTTGAAATACTCCCACATGTCCGATGTGGATTTACCCTCAAACAGCCGCCTCCAATCAAAATTCTCCAGTTCCTGCCTAATATTATTGTAATTTGCCTTCCCCTAATTTACGTGAGGACTGCTGTGTCCCTATCCATGAGTATCTTAAAACTCCCAGTATTATGGTCACTACTCTCGAAATGCTCCCCCAGTGAAACTTCACTCACCTGACCGGGCTCATTTCCCAAAACCAGGTCCACAATAACCCCTCCCCTGGTTGGTCTATTTACATACTGTGTCAAAAAACCCTCCTGAATTGTCCTTGCAAATAAATGTTTTATGAAGTTGAATTATGTGAAACTGTGATTTGTTTTACTTTGAGATCCAAAAAAAACCCTTTAATTAATAATGAGGCTGATTAAAGGAAAGAAATCTCAGAACATTTTCTGAGCAAGGTATTCAGGCGAAAACTGTTAGGAATGTTCTCTGGAGTGGAAGCCTTCATAACTTAGTCAGCTTCTGTGATGGTCTCACCAGATCTGGGACAGAGGACTAGGTTCTGGTCCCACATGCCCTGGAGGAGGAGTGTGTTTTAGGTTCAATAAAACTATCATTTTTAACCCAATGTTAAGGATTAAGTGTAGCCCCGCATACAGGCTGCTATAACCTGCCATATCTTGCTCATGCCCAATACACACTGCATACCACCTTACATTATGTCCTGGATAGTACATATTTTGATTGATCATTGGTCGTGAACATGTGATAATAGAGAACTAGCTTACAGATTTCCGTTTTGATATGTTCACCATGACTTGATCATGAAAGCAGATCTGAAACTCTTAAGATGCTGTGCAATCAATGTAGCAGCCATGGCTCAGAGATCACTGTTTCATTTCTGTCAAGACTTCAACATGTTACCTGGAAATCTAGGCGGGCACATCAGTGCAGTACCAGGGAATGCTGTAGTATTGAATATGCTTTCTATTCGACAGGATGTTAAACTGAGCCTTGTCGCCACATGCACATACGTATACAAACACTCTTCCCCCAAAAAACCAAAACTCTAGGTCCTATTTCAAAGATGAGCAGGAGAATTTTCCTCCATTGTCCTGATCAATGTTGATCCCCCAAAAATTATTGGTAAAGCAAGTTATTTGGTCATTTTATTAATTGCTGTTTGTGGGAGCTTGCTGTGCACAAATTGACTGCCATGTTTTGAAATAATTTCATTAACATGAATATTTAATCAAAATTGCTACCACTTGAAAACCAGTGCACTCCTGCTTGAGCAAAAGGAAATAATAACATTTGTGTGGAGGCATCATAAACTATTAACTCTCATTTGTTGTGACTGGAGTAATGGAACATTCTAAAGTTTCTTTGTTCTCTCAGCCATATCTGTAGGTAGATTCCACATCTGTTACATAGCGAAATTGTCTCAAACTCCTCTATTTGTTGTTATAATAGTGTCATCCATCTATTAGATATCCTGTTTCATGTAGATGTATCACTGATCTTTCACAAACAAGTGCAAGAAACCCAGCAGATCTGGCAGCATCTGTGGAAAAAGAAACCGAGTTAATGTTAATTATAGTGATTGTAATGCGGTCAGCCAGGTGGACCTCGGTAGAATGAGTTGCCTGATTGGACCAGATTAATAGCCCCCATCAGGGAGCCCTGGCTGACAGATATAAATAGGAGTGTCAGACATCCTGACCTCCGAGAGCTGGCTCTGAGGGAGCTGGAACAGTGTCACCACTTTCAACATGTAACATGTGGAGTTATTTCAGCAATGATGAAAGTAAAGCATGCTCAAGAATAAATTCATTTACAACAGTCATCTTTTAGTTAGGATAAGTATTTCTAGCATCATGCTGTTATCTGGGAAGCTAGACTTGTTTGATCCTGTCATGGAAGATTGGGCCCAACATGTGGAAATAATTGTTATGTAATGGGTTATTTTTTTCCAGGCAAATGACATTGGGGCAGATGAGGACCAATGAGTAATTCTCCTGACAGTTTGTGGGCCTGCAGCTTTCTAGGTTATTAGAAGCCTTACTTTCCCTGAGGCACCAGATTCTAACACTTTTCAAGTGTTGACGGATTTGGTTAAGGAATATTACAATCCCAAGTCCTCTTCTAAGCTGACATCGTTTTTACTCGGTAATTCGAGAACAAGAGGAATCCATATTGGAATTTTTGACTAGGTTCAGACGCCTGGCAGAGGCATGTAACTTTGGTTTAACCCTTAATAAGATGCTGAGACCCCATTTGCTATGTGAGATTAATGATGTAACCATGCAAAAACGCCAACCAACTGAAGCCCAAGTGGACTTCAAACAGGCATTACAACTGACTTCATCATTGGAAAGATGAAATCACAATATAGGACAGCGTATTGTTATGGGTAGCAAGAGTAATTGTCCTGAGCAAAGGTCGCTGCCAGATACTGGCTAAACTCGACCAGGGTCATCCTGGGGTTCCAAAGTGAAGATGTTGGTGAGAAGTTATGTCTGGTGGCCCCAATTGGATGCAGACATAGCCACGTTGTGGGGCAGTGACCAGAGTGCCAACAAGGATGGAAATTACCACCAGTGTCTTCCCATGTTCGTGGGAATAACTGGGTAAACTCTGGACTCAGTTACACATCGACTGTGGGTCCTTTCATGGGCTCACTGTGTTTAGTTATTGTGGATGCCCACTGAAAATGGTTGGATGTACATAGAGCTCATTTGTCAAACATGGGGATCATGTTAGAAAAACTGCGCGCATCTTTTGCAATACATCAACTTGACAAGTGTTGGTCATGGATAACTGGCCATCGTTTTCCAGCAGGGAATTTGATTATTTCCTAAAGTTGAATGTATTCATCATATAAGGACAGTTCCAATGACCTGGCAGAAAGAACAGTCCAAAACTTTGAAAACAGGCTTAAAGAAATAGTCTGCAGCTTCACTAGGTACCAAACTGTCCAGGTTCCTATATGATTTTAAGACCACCCCTCATGCAGCTATAGGATAGCCCCCAAAAAATTACTAGTTGGGCGAAGACTGTGCAGTAGGTTAAATCTGATCTTTCTGGACCTAGTGGGGGAAAGAAGGTGAAACAATGTCAGGAATGCCAATGCCAAAGGCAAGACTCTGCAAAGCGAGAAAGAATGTTTACTGCTGGGGATGATGTTTGGCATTGGAACCATAGGACTGGCCTTGCATGGGTCTGAGGCATGGTTGATGTGAGGTCAGGTCCAGTGACAAATAAGGTTCAGGTAGGCATGACGATCCGGAACAAGCATGTGGACCAAATGAAAGCTGCAAATTTGCAAATGGGGTAGGAGCAAAACATGCCCTGCTCCTCAGAACATTCGGAAAATCTGTTGGAACCTATAGGTTCTCCCTGTCCATCAAGCATTGAAGATATCTTTGGAAGCTGAGATGGACACGATGGATGTCACCACTTTGACGCCTGTAGAAAGGAATGAATTTCTTCCGAGACGCTCTGGCTGCAAGAGGCGCACTACTGTGTATTACACACCGGCCATATCCGAAGCAAAGTTGGAGGTACCTGACCTGGTACTAAAGTGCCCCAGGAAGAGGTACAACAGACAAGAACCAACCTCTGCCCTTTGACTCAGAGGGGGAGAGATGTAGTGTTTGTAACAAGGTCAATCAAGTGGACCTCATAGAATATGAGTTCCCCAATTGGGGCTGTTAACCTGCTCCAATTGGGGGCCCTGGCTGACAGATAAAAACAGGAGTGTAAGACATCCTGTTCACTCTGAGGGAGCTGGATCAGTGTCAAGAACTTTCCATGGGTAAATATAGGGTGACTTAATGATGGGATACCGGCCTCCGTGGTATTATATCATTTAATAGTCCAAAGATTCTCCTTTGCTTGTGATCTTGCAGTTGAAGACCTGTTTTTGCATTTAATAAGATTATTTCTCAGTCTGAAAGTAATCATGCAAAGCAAAAGCTATGATTGGCCCAATTTAATTCAAACATCTGGAAGAAAAGAATGTATTCCTTTGGAAGAATTTGTAGGAGATGATGGGTGTGGTGGTAATATCACTGGACTAGTAACTCAAAGGCCTGGAGACATCAACTCACAATCCACCATGACAGCTGGTGAAATTTAAATTTGATAAATAAATTTGAAATGTAACCTAGTCATAGGAATGGTGACTGTGCCAACTGTCATTGTTATAAAAACCCGTCAGGGAAGGAAATCTGTTGCCCTTATCCTATTTGCACCGCATGACTCCTGACCCACAGAAATATAATTAAGCTAATTGCCCTCTTAAATGGCCAGGACAACCACTCAGTTCAAGGGCAATTAGGAATGGGCAGCTAATGTCAGCCTTGCTGGTGACGTCCACGACCCATGAAAAATAGAGAAAAGGACCTTTTCAGAATCATGGGACATTCCAAATCACTTCACAGCAAATTAAGTAATTTTCTTTCAATTATAGTCACCATTGTATTGTTTAAAAAAATGACAGCTAGTGTGCACATAGCAACCCCCCTCAAACAGCAATGTGATATTGACCAGATAAACTGTCTGACATAAGGGGCGAATAGATATTGGCAAAACACTGTGTAAAATTTTTGTTCTTGGAATTGTGCCACTCATTGAATGAATCCACTTGAGAAGTTTAATGGCTCATTTGATAGCTTGCAACTCCAACATTGCATCACACCCTCAGTATTGCATTGATGTGTCATCCTAGGTTGCATGTTGAGGTTGGTTGGCTTGCTGAGCTGGTTTGTTGTTTTGCAGATGTTTTGTTACCATGCTTGGTAACACCCTCAGTGCAGCCTCTGATGAAGCGTCGGTGTGTTTTCCCGCCTGGTTTTTAAACTCTGGGGTCCGTTGAGATGGATTGCCTCACTTCCGGTTTTCCTTCGTAGTGGAATGTATATGGGGTCGAGTTCAACGTGTTTATTAATAGCATGCTTCGTGGAACGCCATGCTTCCAGGAATTCTCATGCTTGTCACTGCCTAGCCTGTCCCAGGATCTTGGTGTTGTCCCAGTCGAAGTCGTGGTTCTCCTTGTCCATGTGGATTGAGATGAGTGAATATCGGTCGTGTCTTTTTGTAGCCAGTTGGTGTTCATGTACTCTTGTTAGTTTCCTTCCTGTTTGTCCGATGTAGTGTTTCTCGCAGTCTCTGCAGGGGATCTTGTAGACGACATTGGTCCTGTCCATGGCGGGGAGGGGTCTTTAGTTCGGGTGAGCAGTTGTCGTGGAGTTGACGTGGGCTCGTGTGCCACTCTGATGCCCAGCGGTCGTAGGAGTCTTGTGGTGAGTTCCGACGTGTTCCTGATGTAGGGTAGTGTGATGACTGTGTCGGGGCGTGTAGAATCTTCCTGATGCTGTTCCTGTAGGCATCTCCTGACCCAGTTTTTTGGATATCCATTATCCTTGAACAGTTGGAAGAGGTATTCTTCTTCCTCTTGGCATAGTTCTGTGTTGCTGCAGTGTTGTTGCCCTTTTACGAATACTATTTAAAAGGGCAACAACACACTGCAGCAACACGGAACTACGCCAAGAGGAGGAGGAATACCTCTTCCAAGTGTTCAAGGATAATGGATATCCAAAAAACTGGGTCAGGAGATGCCTACAGGAACAGCATCAGGAAGATTCTACACGCCCCGACACAGTCATCACACTACCCTACATCAGGAACACGTCGGAACTCACCACAAGACTCCTACGACCGCTGGGCATCAGAGTGGCACACGAGCCCACGTCAACCCCACGACAACTGCTCTCCCGAACTAAAGACCCCTCCCCGCCATGGACAGGACCAATGTCGTCTACAAGATCCCCTGCAGAGACTGCGAGAAACACTACATCGGACAAACAGGAAGGTAACTAACAACAAGAGTACATGAACACCAACTGGCTACAAAAAGACACGACCGATATTCACTCATCTCAATCCACATGGACAAGGAGAACCACGACTTCAACTGGGACAACACCCAGCTCCTGGGACAGGCTAGGCAGAGACAAGCACGAGAATTCCTTGAAGCATGGCACTCCACGAAGCATGCTATTAATAAACGCGTTGAACTCGACCCCATATACATTCCACTACAAAGGAAAACCGGAAGTGAGGCAATCCATCTCAACGGACCCCAGAGTTTAAAAACCAGGCGGGAAAACACACCGACGCTTCATCGGAGGCTGCACTGAGGATGTTACCAAGCATGGTAATGAAACGTCTGCAAAACAACAAACCAGCTCGGCGAGCCAACCGACCTCAACACCCACAACCCGAGCTACAGATCGACTCCAAAACCTTAGGTTAAGTGCTTAAAGTGGGGACTAAACTTCTGACTTGGCATGCTACCACAGAGCCAAGGCTGACTATCTTTGCAATATAATGTATGTGTTGCCCTTCCCACATCAGTGAAATTTTTTTTATTAATTTACGGGATGAGGGCGTCGCTGGCTAGGCGGTATTTATTGCCCAGAGGGCAGTTAAGAGCCAACCAAAATGCTGTGGGTCTGGAGTCACATGTAGGCCAGACCAGGTAAGCATGGCAGTTTTCTTCCCTAAAGGACATTAGTGAACCAGATGGGTTTTTCCAACAATCGACAATGGATTCATGGTCGTCCTTAGACTCCTATCTCCAGATATTTATTGAATTCAAATTCTATTATCTACTGTGGTGGGATTCAAACCTGGGTCCCTAGAACATTATCTGGGTCTCTGGGTTAACAGTGCAGCGATGATACCAGTAGGCCATCATATCCCCAATAATGCTTAAATAAATTCCAACTTCCTTCCTGTATTGCAACCTTTGCAACATTGTAAAATTGTACTCTAGCAACTTCAAATCTGACAATTTCTATTCCTATCTTATCTTTGTGTGTTGGTCACTAAAAGGCAGGATCAATGACAGATCATCCAGAGACCAGTTAGGTTCCAACACAATGAGTTTTTTCAATTAAACGGACAGAATAACAAATTGTGTATTCTTAACAGACTTAATGCTTAATAACATTTTAACCATTTTTTTTGTTTCAGTCCTGCTTAAAATACAATTTTTGTGAATCCTTGGCTTTAATCTCCTATCTAAATGTGGATATTAGTGCTACTCTTTCTGTGTAACGAAGAAAATGCTAAACAAAATCCTAAGTATGACAGAATCATCATTAAACTACTTTCAACTGGACGGATTTCTTGTCAAAATCAGTGATAGGCTAAGAATAAATGAAGCAATTATTTCCAGAATTCAATGAAAATTAAAGCTCGGGAAAAAAAGAGCAAAAAATTTTAAATTTAACATGAGCAGTTTGAATGTGGCACAAATTGATGATTGGAGGCACATTCTGTGAAATAAGTTTGGGGATGCTGAACCTAGTGCCACGTTTGCTTGGGCCTACTTCACAAGGCTGCCTTACTGAATGTAATAATAGATGATGTGGGCAAAAAGGGGAAAACCATTACCCTTGTTTGGTAGTGAGTGCATTTATTTTTTAATCAACTTGTTCTGACATAGGACACACCTCTGGGACAGGTAGGATTTGAATGTGGCCCTCCTAGTCCAAAGTTAGGAATACTACTACAGCACTACAAGACCCCAAATTGGTTGCACTATTTGGCTGCAATAATGTGAACTTTATTTTGTAACTCTCTCCTTAACAGCACTGTGGGTCTGCCTACAGCAAATGGACTGCCACGTTTCAAGAAGGTAGCTCACTACCACTTCAGGGCATCGAGAGGATGGCAATAAATGCTGGCCAGCCAGCAATGCCCACATGCCATCAGTGAATATATAAAAAAAACAAATCTGGTTATGTTGTATCTAAAGTGGGAATGCTTCAGATTGATGTGTGATACCAAACATTGGAAGCATTGCTAAGCCTAAAAAAGCATGGGAAAGGTTTGTTCCAAACTATAGCATTTAGTAAGAGGAATGTTCTGAATCAAATATTGATTAGGCAATTCCTTAAATTGTTCTACTACTGGAATAATGTTCTTGAACACTACAATACTTAATATATTGTTGAAATAATTTTAATGGAATTTTTAACAATTATTTGGAACAAAGTGCTATTGTGTTGCTCGTCGTGATGGTGAGGGAAAACAGCCTAATTCACTGGATGAGAACTGTGTGATGAGAACAATATATCCTGTCAGTGAATGTGATATAGAAATTGAAATCTTTACATTTGAATGCTGAATCCATGTGATATATCTAATCCACAAGAGAAACTTTAAATTGAACTTTCATTTTCTTTTTCTCTGCATGCATAGCTACCATGTTTGATTCCAATCTTTCTTTTCTGCCCATAGAGTTCCTTGAACTGCCGACCTAAGTCACCAACAAACTGTACTATTTCTGGCTGGGACTTAGGTGGTGTATATTGGACTGCTTCACCATCCAAATGGCAAATCCTTTCCCTTGAACAGGAGTCAAAAAGGTCTGCGGGTCATGACAGATGGAGCAATTGCAAAACCAGCCCTGAACAGGAGGCTGAGGAGGAAATGGAGGATCAATTTGACGATGTAAGAAATACACAGTAACAAAATTATTGAGTATTATTAAGTGGGGTTGTATATGATGTGATAAATTACAGAGTCAAGAAAAATTCACATTCTATACTGAAGTACAGGCAAATGATTAGCTTGCCTGAAACGCACAGGTCACCCAATTACATATCTGAAAATGACACTTAAAATTCTTACTTCATGTAACCTTTGACCATGCTAATATTGTTAAAGCTGCTTGTTACCTCATCTATTTGCCTTACCATTGTATCGCTACACCTCCATCAAGATGAAAAATATTTGCCTAAAAGTTATGTTGCAGATTTTAGCATTTGTTAGCATTTAATTTGTTTTTACGAATGTTAATCATAGAAGCTTATTATTACTACGGTAGTTTATTGTTATCCTGCAGTTTGTTTAAAATCCCTAATTGAACTGTGAGAAAGCAAGAGCTGCAGATCTAGAGTCGGAGTCAATACACGAGTCTTGATGAAGGGTGTAAACCTGAAATGTCGACTTTCCTGCTCCTCTGATGCTGCCTGACCTGCTGCGTTTCTCCAGCTCCACACTGTATTGACCCTAATTGAACTGCGTCGTGTTCACTTTATTCAGATGCATTTGTCCAGTAACATTAGGAAGTCCAGTCAATCTGCTGTTGCATCATTTTCCACTTTAATAGTATCTGATGGCATTCATTAAATTGGAAACATCAGGGCTATCTCGCAATAAACTGAAATAAGTCTGATACACAATGGTATTTTGACTCCCTGGGATACTGCACTGTAAACTGAGTCTTGCTATTCCTGGAGTTGTGCTAAATGTTAAAGATTTACACAGTACCCCAATTTACCCGATTTTTCAGACCAAGGTTTCTGTACTAAACTAGAATTGTTATTTATTGTAAGTAATTTCGCAATAGCCACAAATAAACAGATATTAACCATTGGCATATAACACTGCAAACTAAAACTCTGATCCTCCTACATGCTCTCACACACTTATTGATGGACGTAGAGAAAACCTGGAAAGTCCGTTTGGCAGTTGTTGTTTCCTAGTACCAATGTTGAGATGAATCCGCTTCGGCTTGCCAGGCCTTTGGTGTTCAGTTATCTTTCTCTGGAAACTTACACTGGTTTTTAAGAAGTATAGTGACTGGTTCAATGTTGATTTGAATTTATCAGTTCAAAACTCACAGATCTCTGCAACTGCTGCAAGAAAGGCAACTGGTCTTCTTCAAGTTTACGCTGAGTTTTTTTTGCTACAGAGAACAGGCAGCTTCTACTGGGGACAATTCGAACGTACCCTTCTGTGTCCTCCTCTGCCTTGGGGTCTCTGTCCCTGTAACGTGTTTTCAACCTGCTCAGTTTATGAGAACCAGTCAGCTTCATATGTAAACAACTCCTCAGCTCCTAATCGTCTGCACTTTGCAAGAACTCCCCCTGTCATAAAAACAGAGTTCAAAGTAGATATTGAATTCCTTGCTGTGAAGTTATGCAGTCATCCTGGTAAATCCCTGTTTTTTTAAAAAAAATAGTGCTTTCTCCTTGCAGTCCAAAGTTTTTAAAGATATGAAAATAAAAAGACGCTCTTCTACAGCAGCAAATCATAAATAGTGCATTTAATTTAATCCATGTAAAAAAGATATAATGTGGATTATAAACTAAATGTTACAATTTTAATAGAGCTGTAGGGACAGAAACCTGTGCTTCACAAACAAATCTTTAAAGGAGATTAGGATGAATTGATTAGTTTAAGAAAATAATGCAGAATTCTTAGTCTGAAAAGTAGAGGCATGGAGTATAAAATTTTAATAAATTAAGTCATACCTTTGCATCTTTATTAGTTCAGCTTCAGTTGGCAAATTATATCCAATTCAGGGTGACACACCTTCAGGAAGGATATTAAGGCTGTAGAGAGGGTGCACAGGAGTTTTATTAGGTTAATACCAGGGAATTCAATAATTGGGAGGGACAGGAGAAACGGGGATTATTTTGTTAGTTTACAGAGAGATTTACAAAATTAATGGAGGGCTCTTATAGAAGAAAATAAGAAGAAACTGTTCCTGCTGACCAGCATGTTGGTCACGAGATAAGGTAGATTTAAGACAGATGGCAAAAGGACAAGTGGGGAACTAAGAATTTTTTTAAACCTTTTAATTCTTGTGATCCGGCATGTTCTACCTGAAAGGCAATTTGGGGAGATTCACTGATAACTTGAAAAAAATCGAATCAATTCTTCAATGGTGAAAAATAATTACAGGGATTTGGGGATAAAACAGGGGTAATGAGACTAATGGGTTAGATCTTTCAAAGAGCTAGCAAAGACACAATGGCTCAAGTGTCTGTCTTCTGTGCTGCACAATTTTACGATAATATTTTGTCAGAAAATCAACAGTAGAGCTCAGTGAATTCCTGAAAGTACCTAATTCAATGTTTAAGTTTAATCATGTATGAAAAATTCTTAGACTGAACAATGAAATTGTGTGAATTAAAATCCAAAGAAATGGCCAAAGTCTGCATTCTGAACGTGAGTTTAGATGTTATCAGCAGATGAACCATGGATACAATCATATTGTAAACTCTACTATCAAAGTAGGAAAAGTAACACTGTGGTGGGTGAGTCCATCATGTCCAAGGTTCCCCTCCCGTGGCACACATGATCTTGACCCCGCCATGTATATAATTGTTCCTTCATCCCAGCGCTTCTTTGTAAATGCTAACACACAAGTAGCATCACCCTTTGGCTTGCATTGTTTCATGAGGTTCACCGCCATATTCTCAGTGCAACTTGGAATGGACAATAGTTGCATCCTCTGCAGCATCAACCTGTGGCAAGGACAAATAGAATAAAGTAACTAACGTTAATGGAATGATTTCATTATGAACTCAGTGGTGCATTATTATGATGCACATATCTGGATTTAATCAAATACTTAAGCATAATGAAATATTAATCAGGTAATTGCTGATCTGTTTTTTTATTTGTTCATGGGATATGGGCATCATTAGCTAGGTCAGTATTTATTGCCCATCCCTAATTGCCCAGAAGACAGTTAAGAGTCAACCACATTGCCTTGGCTGTGCAGTCACATATAGGTCGGACCAGGTAAGGTTGACAGTTCCCTTCCCTAAAGGGCATTAGTGAACCAGATGTTTTTTTACCCCTGACAATCGGTAATGGTTTCATGGTCCTCATTAGATTTTTATTTCCTGTTTATTATTAAATTCAAATTCCACCATCTGCCATGGCGGGATTTGAACACATCTCCAGAACATTACTTGGGGTCTCTGGATTAATAGTCTTGTGATAGTGCCACTAAGCTATTGCCTACATATGTGAACAGCAGATAACTTTGCCAGTTTTGCTTTAGTGATTGCATTCTCATCTCTGTCAGACGGCTGTGGTTCAAGTCCCACTTCAGAGATTTGAGTATCTAATCTAGGCTGGCTGTGCAATTCTGAGGGAGTACTGCAGAGTTAGAGAATTGCCTTTTGGATGTTAAACAGAGTCCCATGTGCTCTCTCAGGTGGAAGGTAGGGATCCCATGATTACACTGAAAAGAGAGCAAGCAAATTCTCCCGACCAATGCTTATCTTCAACCAAACCTAAAAGTGATTGTTTCTTCATTATCACATTGCAGTTTGGGGAGTCTTGCTACTCACAAATTGACTGCTGCATTTCATATAATACAGTAGGGACTAAACTTGCGATGTCAAGTAGTTGTGAGATGCATGATATAATGAAAAGTTGTTTTCTTCAAGTGGAACTTTTCTCAATATCTTCTAATTGTTTTTTGGTTTGTCACATTTCTAAAACTTCAGGAACCTGTATCCAAATTTTCTGGCAGCCTGTTTGACACAGAAGAAGGTTTTCAACGGAATCGCCACATGAGAGCTTTTCTACATGGTAATCAAAGGCAACTTAACATACCAGGTAGCTCGGACACCAGCAAGCAACAGGTCTGTAAGTTGGCAAACAATACTGGTGGAGATGTTAAGTGTCCAGAGAGAAGTAATTGCCAGCCGACACTTTTAATATCCACGGGATTCAAAGAAACTTTGGCAAAGGTAATAGCAAAGTCTTTTCTATCATTTCCTATTTGAATTAATTTACCTACTTATGTGGTTAGTATTAGCTGTGCCTGGTTAGTAGTTTCCCTCACTATGAATCAGGAACATCATTAAGGACTTCAGCACATGACTAAGACTGCACCCTTGTGCGTTATTGAGGGAATGCTGTCTTGTCTGAGCTGCTTTTATTTTTCAACTATTCATTCATGGGATGCATGCAACATTGGTTAGGCCAGCATTTATTGTCCATCCCTAATTGCCATTCAGAAAGTGGTGATGAGCTGCCTGCTTGAACTGCTACAGTTTGTGTTGTGAAAGTATGCTCACAGTGTTGTTAGTGAGAGAGCTGCAGGAATTTGACCCAGCAAGAAGGAGTGGCACTATAGTTTCAAGTTAGAATGATATGTGACTTAGAGGGAATTTGCACGTGGTGCTTTCTATCATCTGCTGCTCATGTCCTTCTAGGTGGTAGAGCTCGCAGATCTGGAAGATGCTGCCTAAGCAGTCTATGTGAGTTGCTGTAGTATATGTTGTAAATGATGCACACTGCTGCATTGTGTGTTAGTATGGACAGAGTGAATGTTGAAGATGTTAGAAGGGATTCTAATCACGCAGATTACTTTGTTCTGGACAGTGTTGAGCTTCCTGACTATTGCTAAAGTTGCACTTTCACCGAAGAATATTCTAGCATAGTCCTGACTTGTGTTTAGTGAATAGATTTTTGAGGAGTCAGGTGGGGAGTTATTCACTGTAGAATTCCCAGCCTTTGACCTGCTGTTGTAGCCATAGCGTTTATATCGCTGGTCCAGTTCAGTTTCTGGCCAACCGTAACCCCCAGGGCGTAGCTGTGGCGGATTTGGTGATGGTTCTGACCATTTCTGGAAAGGTCAGTGGACTTGAAACATCAACTTCTGTTTTCTGTTCACAGATGCTGCCAGACCTCCTGAATTTCTCCAGCATTTTCTGTTTTTGTTTGAAGCGAAATTAACTCATTTATCTCATTTGCTGTTTTGGATCTTTATGTCTATAATGTAGTTATCTGTGTGAGTACTATATATGCTTTGAGAAGTAAATTCTTGAGTTGTAAATTTGCAAAGAAACATACTGGGGTTCTGATAAGCTGGAGTTTGAATTTAATTTATTATACCTTATTCATTAGACCTGTGAGATATTTATTTGGCTGTAACATGTCTGGAACTAAATTGGGTGCTGATCTTTTTGTATTGGCTCAGAAAATATATTCCTCCTAACTGAAAGAAATATGGATTGGGGAAAAGTCCCACACTTAAACTAATTGCATTGTAGAGTTTATTTTATCTAAATGGTTCTAGCCACTATTAACCTTTTGGAATCTAGTGCTGTATTCACAAGATAACAATACATAGAAAAACAATAGATATTTTGCGCAATTCATTAAGACTATCCATATATTTTCTTTGATAGCATACTGGTTTTCAAGACTGTTTCCAGACATATCCTGCTCATGTGCTCTGGATTTGAGTTATGGTTGAGTAACAGATCCAAGAAATTCTATCAGGACTTTGAGTTGGGGATTTCCAGCTCAATTTGAGGGCCTGACCTACACGTGCACATACATATATACAAGTATCATGGATATTATTCAATGTGTGAGAGAGAATGCCTGACATGGAAGTTACATCCTGCTCCATTTACATTCAAATATTGCACTTTGACAATCTGTATCATATGCTAACCAAGCGGAACATCAGCACTTGCTAATCGTAAGCCACAGATAAAGTAAAACACATTTGAGTTTTATGTTGTTTAACCAGTAATTAAAAAAAAAATGATGCTGGATGTTACTTGCATTATACTACGTTACTTTATACAGGGTGACTGGTATTTCTTGTTGGATAGAATTTGGTGATTACATTTGGAGCCATCAAGGCTGGTACTGTAACGAATGCCCTCCCATGAGTTACTAAATGACGAGAACCTTGAACACATCATTGGAAAATCCCTAACCTCTTGCAGCCAGAATCCTCACCAGTGATGATACCTTGACCATTGGAAATAATTAGGAGAAAAATTATCATTCCCTGTGATATGAATAACTGGGAAGAGTTTTGGGACCTGGCAAATAGAGTGATCAAAATACTTTTTTATTGACCAAATAAATCCACTGCTGCAGAGCACGAATATTTAATATAATATATAGTTATTTCAGCTGATGCTGAGAGATTTTGGGGAGAGAAAAACGTTGTTACTCTCATTCAAAACAATATTTCCTAAAGTGGGAAGTGCAGATATTATACACTTCCCTTTCTGAGTCTGTTAAAGGCTGATTTCAGGTGAGCTTGTTCAGTGATGGTAAAGCACTATTCTCACAAACAATTTTTCACTTATTCAGTGTAATGTTTCAAATATGTGAAAATGTTATCAATCGAGCAAACCTGTTTAATGGAAACGGCATCTATTGAGTATGTAGTTATTTTAACTCAAAGTTCCTGATTTGAATTCAAATCCCATCACAATTCACAGGTTTATATATCTTTCTGACAAAGAGAATACTTTTCTACAACCCTTTTTTTAAATCATAAAATTGCCATTGTAAAATGACAAGATTTGTATGTGTGCTGAATGGGTAAAATTAAATATGATTGATGAGATACACAGCCTACAAAGATGACTATGCAAACAGTGTATAGTTTCATGAATAATAACCGCCCTTGGTACATTGTTGATGTAAAGAAGGGTTTGATATACCACAGTGCTTTTAAAAAGACTTGACAAGTTGATGAAGGAGAACAACTTTGGGACATTTAAAAGGTTACAGATTAGTCAAAAACAAAAACAAAGTTGCTGGAAAAGCTCAGCAGGTCTGGCAGCATCTGTGAAGGAGAAAACAGAGTTAACCTTTCGGGTCCGGTGACCCTTCCTCGGAACAGATTAGTCAAGTTGTCTAATGAGGCACCATAGGTAAAAATTTTCGATTCACACAGGTATTAGCATTACTGGTGATGGGGACGGGTGGTGTAACAAAGTTTCAGTGCCTAGTTCATATGATGGCTAATGATTAGGATAATGGTCTTTCCTGTCAGTCTCCTTCACATTTGTCCGTATTTGTTATCTATAACACTGACTGTATGACTTTAGGCTTATTGTTACTGAACGTTCACATGCCAACTTTCAAGTGTTGAGAGCAAAATCTCTGATTTTGCTTTCCCTTTCTGCATGAATCTGTGACCACATTTTCAGTAGATGAGCTGAATGTCAAATCAATATCAAAAACAGTGCTAGTTCTGGTTGTGTTTTTTTTTTTAGAAGCTCAATATTACAGTGCACAGTCCGATGGGAAGTCTGGGGATCAGTATTGCTGGAGGAAAAGGGTCAACTCCATATAAAATCAGTGATGACGTAAGTTTTTATATGTTAAACATGATGAACAATATGAATTTAATTGACTTGCCATCTCAAAAATGCTTTTGATGGTGAATTTTGAGACATAGTTTTGAATAAATGTTATCACTGACAAAGCAGAAATGTGTTGTATTATGTAGCTGATTGGTCAAAAATATTCCCTGTTATCAACCGCATTTCCACAAAGGTTTCTAGTATCCTTAAATGGAGCTCCAGAGCTCATTAATGCACACCCATGAATCATGATGTGTGACTAGAATAGAAGACAAAACAGCTAAGTTGTTTATAATTTCTGATTATTAATATTTTAGATTAGGTTTTTGGAAAAATACAGTTTCATGGATAATTGTTGAACTACACCTGTTGTGTAGCTGATTTCTAGAGTTTAAATCAATGGCCACGTTGAGAGAAAAGTAAAACTTAATGGTTCCACTATCATATATATGCATGGAAAAATTGAATTTGTAAGACTAAATATTTAGTCAAAAATTAGGTGGTCAGCTTTTACATGAGTAACATTTTTAGAGGTGCTGAATTTCAGTCTCTCCTTATGTCTTGCTATTACGGTGTTGCCATGTTGAATATCTTCTCCAATCATTCGGTCGTTCTACTCATTTCGTGTGTTAACCTTTTGAAGGGCTTGTTTCGAGTGATATGCAATGGTTGAATAAGGCTGGTTTGATCATCAGGAATCACTGCAACATTACTGTTTTGTGATCTAACTTTAGCAACAACATCAACAAGGTTTGATTTGAACATGTCCCGGATGAGAAGATCTTTATCTTTACACAATCTACCTCGTTGAAAACATCAAATTTTCTTCAGCTATAATTTCAACGCACCTTCATCCATCTATTCTTTATTGTGAACCTAGTTGTCTACATTCCTTCCGGGAATTGCTGTTTCAAGAGGAGTATTCACATGAATATCGCCATTGGCTTAGGCTTTGTCCTGTTTGACATACATGGCAATGCAATAGTGAATTTTCTCTCTTCATGGCCAGTTGTCTTCACCAACACTGTTTTCTGTCCAGTTTTGCTGTTTGTTTCTCTGTTTTGCCTATCAAAATTCATGGGAATCTCAGCAGTGTTCTCAATAGAGATCAGTCTGCATCCATTTTCTTTGTCAATGTTTGATTATAAGCTGTTGAAATACAATAAGCATGCTATCAAATTCTTCTGAAGATGCTGTGAAATCTTGGTCTTCTAATACTGTACAAAATTGTCTCCCTTCATAAACTTGATAGAAAATATTGAGCTGTCTTTGAAATTTGTAAATCTTCTTGTTTTTTTTAAATATTTGTTCAAGGATGTGGGTGTTGTTGTTGCCCTTGAATAGGTAGTGGTGAATTGTCTTCAACCATGTAGTCCGTGGAGGAGGGATACGGTCACGCACAGTGCTGTTATATAGGGAGTTCCAGGATTTTACTCCAGCAAGAGTGAAGGAACTTGTTTCAGGCTGAAGATGTGGATAGATACTAAGGAAATTGAAACTATTCTGACAATTTTCATTGATCTGTATTTTGCAACTTCATTTCTAATGGCAGCCTCATGCTAGGCTTTCTCCACTTGAACACGTGCACGAACTTGTGGATAGCTTCCTCTAATATCTAAATTTCTTCTTTGATATTCTAGATTCTCGAGCTTCTGTATTACTTGTCTGTTGTACAATGTCAATTACTTTAAGTTTGAACTGGGCTGTGTATCTGTTTTTCATCCTTGATACTATATTGCTATAATACAGAGCAGGATTGGTGGAAATGCCATGTGACCAGTAATGTGGTAGGCTTAACAGCATGTGTTGTATAAGGAGCTGAATAGTGTGTTATTCTATTATTTAATCAACAAGGTTTGCATCAGTTTACTTTCAATGGTGAGCAGGTGGTAAGTGCAAGAGTTTAGAGTTTCTGGCTAAATACAGAGGGTTATCTTGTACATGAGATTAATTTTTACTTGGAAGCAGATGATATTTCTTTTTTTTTCCTGATTTTGATCTGCCTGCATTGGTTGTTATTTCTGGTTGAAGAGAGTTGGTGAGAAACTTGTGTTCAGACCTTTTTAAGTATTTGAAGTGTAAGATCTGGGTGCATGGATTTTCTGGCTGTAAAAATTCCCAAGGCTGTTCTCAGCTGTCTTCTCAAAGGAACATCTTAGTCTCTTATGAAGTAAACTCGAGCAATTTTCCTCAACTGCGGTCTCTATATGCAAATATCCATCCAGTTGACTTTCAATTTCTGTTTCTTTATTTTTCATTGGGACTTTGACCCAGGCCAAGTCCTGTTCTTTCCACAGTTGATTGGTGGAGAAGTGTCTTGTCTTGTGCTAAATGCTAGACACATCTTCAAAGTTGAGAAATGGACGGAATGCATTGCTTTAAAATAAAGTTGACTCCCTGTCTACTTGTATAAAATCTACAAATACAGGGCAGCTTTGTCATCAACAGAACAGAGAATTCTATCATTTTGGGTATAGAACCCTTGTATGACCTTTCACTTGAAACATGAGCTTATATTTTCATTTTATACATGGTGGCGATATTGCAATGTTAATGATTTACTTTGTTTTGTGACAGAAACTTTGGCAAACAACTTAAATTTTTCTCATGAAAAACATTTAATGTATAAAAAAAATCCCTTAGTTTCAAGATGTGAACGGAAAATAACTTCAGAGGCAGGTCCAGAAGTTAGAATCCATTTAAATCTTAAAAAAAAAATTGTTCAGATGCCTACTTATGATTTCTGTTGTCAAAAATATATCCATGTTTAAGTATAACAACATCTATGTATAAAATTGCCACATGATTAGTTGGAATTTTAATATTTCTCGTCAATTTCCCAACAGATTTTTTTTGTTGAACAGGTGTACATGTTACGTTAGATTGTGCTCCCTGCATTGCATTCCGTTGCTGCATTATTTTTGTTGAGTCTACTCCCATTGCTATTACTGTACACTTGAAGCTGCAGGAAAAAAAATAGAGGGTGGAAATTGCTGAGGGAGTTTCACTGTCAGTCCACAATTCAGATGAGAAAGATTAATTTGTGTGGATGCATCAAATGTAGCTCACTGACTTGAGGTCTCTGGACTCTGAGTACCCCAACTCTCAGATGCATTGAAGGTCAGTGACCCTGCAACCACAGCATGTCTGAAGTCATAAGTTTCACCTGAGAGAATATCACAGTGAAGTCATCTATTGCAGGGGTGTCTAATATCTGTGAAAGTTACCACAGCAGTAAACTTTTACACTCTGATCTTTGAGTTACCACAGGGAATATCTGCCAGGTTAACCAGTTAACAGTCATGGATGTATCAAGAAAATGCCAGATCTGTCTTTAACTCTGTTTCATTAGGTAGGTTTTTAATTGGTTAAAATCAGGCTGTATTTATATGTATGCCAATTGTTTTCACTTTCAGAAGAAGGCATTACTTGAGTATGTTGCTCTAGAGTGCAGGGTACAGTGGAAGATAATACATGTTAGTATTGGGCTTTCTTCGCCTCAACCCTACAACCAACGTAATCAGTAAAGTCCTATTTAATTAATACTCAGCTGTTTTCTGACCATAGAAATTTCATAATTCAAGTGTATGTCGTTGCAAATAATTCAGCGCCTTAGTTATGTTCCCTGCAATGTTTGATGGCAAATACACTGTAGAATCAAAGCAAAATACTGTGGATGCTGGAAATCTGCAATAAAAACAAATTCCTGAAAATGCTTAGCAGATTTGACAGCATCTGTGGACAGAAACAGGAGTCAGAATTTTCCAGTTGAAAATAATTCTTCTTTAGAACTGAAAGAAGGTAGAAATATGATGAATTTTGTCATGTGAAGTGGGGGAAGGGGAGGATGAGCAAAAGGGAAGGATTGAGGATAAGAGAGATTAAATGACAATGCTTTGCTTCTTTACTACAAATGTTACCACTTCCTTTGCCTTTTGTTCCACGACAGGTTTGTCATTTAACCTCTCCCAAACCCAGACCTCTCCTTTTGCTCTTCATCCCACTACTCTCTTTAAAATGCAAAAAGATTACATTTCTACCTCTCTTCAGTTAGAGTCAAATAGGACTCTTCTTCAATGTTAACTCGTGGTCATAGTTTAAAATAAGGCGGTGCCCATTTATAACGGAGATGAGGAAACTTTTTCTTTTCTCTCAGAGGATTGAGAGTCTTTTGAATTCCCTTTCTCAAAAGGCAGTGGATGCAGAATCTTTATATATTTTTAAGGCAGAGCTGGATTGATTCTTGATTACCAAAGGGATGAAGGATTATTAAGGATATGCAAGAATGGAGAGTTGATCAGCCATGACCTTATTGATTAGTGGAGCAGGCTTGAAGGGCTGAGTGGCCTTTCCTTCTTCGTTTGTTCATAACTCTGTTTCCCTCTCCATGGATGCTTCCAGACCTAATAAGTATTTCCAACACTTTTTCTGTTTTAAGTACACCAAAGAATGGTCACTGTGGACTACAACAATGATGACAGGGGCATCAAAAATATCCTGAATAGTGAGAAAGTAAACACCATGAGGCAAATACCTCAAACAGAATTATGTAAAGCAGACCAAAAGAATGGTAAAATTGACAGTCATGCAGGCAGGGTGCAAAAGACCTTTCAGCAGGATGAAGGAGGACAGAGCAATAGTAGAGCAGGAATAAGTGTAGATGCGGCCAGAAAATAAGGACTCATTGATCACTGGTTCAAGTGATTCCTACCTCCTACACAAGTATTGCAACTGAACGGAATATTTTAGCTGTACAGGTAGACAACATGCTGTACTTGAATAAAATCAAAATACTGTGGATGCTGGAAATCTGACATTAAAAACAGAAAGTACTGGAGAAACTCAGCAAGTCCAGCACTGTCCGTGGAGTCAGGAAACAGAGTTAATGTTTTGACTCCAATTATGTATTGTCTTCAGAAGAGTCATACTGGATTTAAAACGTTAACTCAATTTCTATCTCCACAGATGCTGCCAGGTCTGCAGAGTTTCTTCAGCCCTTACTATTTTAATGCAGTATCTGAAACTGCCAGCTTTGTCCCAACATTCATTAGATAGTTCTTGCAGGGCATGAGCGTGACTACCTACAACTGAGGAGAAATTAAATGATCGGAACTTATTAGATAAAAGAAAGCAATGCAGGGGCCAGAGTCTAACAACATGGATGGTTTTTCAAAAGTAAGATTATTATGACTTTTCCCCAAAGAAAGCTAATTTTCTGGCAGTCATTAGGATGTTTGGTGCCCTTCATTGCCATGAATAAATCTAAAAGATGTGTTTTTCCTTTCTTAAATACATCTACATACTGCTTTAGTATGTTGCCAGATTATATCAAGACCATTGTTATGTCCTATTACCACAACAGCTGAGATCTGAATGGAATAGACTGGTGATAGGGTGTAGAACTTCAATGCCCTATATGGCAGTATTAGTTAAAAATGTACTGATAGCAACTGTGTGTTTAAAATCTTCTAATGGAGGTAACTAACCAAAAATTTCAAAATGGAAACTTTGAAACTTCTCCCTCGTCTTAAATATGACTGGGCATAAATACTCCAGACATCTGAAACTAAAATCCAGAGAGAAATTTCACACAATTGTAAAATCGTGTTTGTATTGAACAGATGCTAGGTATTAACATGCTGCTTTTGTTACATGAGGGAAATATAGAGAAAAGGTCTTTGTATTTTGATACTTTATATCATTTTTGACTTCTGCTGTACAAAATGCTTCCCATGTTTACACAGAGGGTTTCACTATTACCTGTAATTGTAGTCTGACTCGGAGTACAATTGTTTTCTAACATCTGATTTCTAAAATAAGATGTTAGTGTAACAAATAATGATTCATAGTGTTGTCTGTGCCAGAGAATCTTCATTTCTAAAGTATCGAAGGGGGGTCCTGCTGATCTTGCTGGTGTACAAGTTGGCGATCTAGTACTGGAGGTAAGTTCGTGCAACTCCTTGTCACCAATTCTCAATGATCTCTTTTCATGAATATAAGAATTTGAGAAACACTTGCTGATCTCTCTATGTTAAGATGCCTCTTTGAATCCATCAAAATAATCTGGCAAAGATGAAAGGAAAAGGAAAGAAAGTGACTTTTATAAATTCATGATGCCCTCAGGGCACTTGACAGCCAATGAAGTACTTTTGAAGTGTGGTCACTGCTGTAATATTGCAAATTCAGCAGCCAATTTGCACACAGTGAGCTTTTTTAATGACTAATTAATGAGCACTCAGAGTGAATTCTTGAATTTTTCTAACCCAGAGGGCTGTAGAAGCTCAGCAATTGAGTTAATTCAATTTAAAGAGATTGGTCAATTTTTTTGGATATTAAGTGAATTAATGGGCATGGGAATAAATGAGGAATGATATTAAGGTAGAAAATAAAAAAAAAACGACTTCATTGAGCGATTTTTTGCAACATGGCGACAGACATCCAAATCAAATCAGCTTCTTATTCCTGTATTCACAGTAAAATTAAAATATTCAATGACCCTCAATGGTTACTAACCAGACTTTGTGAATAACTGATACCAGACACTAGGCTTATTGCTTCAACAAAAGATTTAACTATTTATTAACAATACAGTAGTTTTATCAAAGCAAAGTTAAATCATAGATAGTCTAATTAATGTATATCATTTAAACCCAATCATTTTTGATTCTATCCCTGACTTGCACACAAAGACAGAGAGCCAAACAGGCAGTTAAGAGATAAATTAGAAATAAAAGAAATAAATGAGATGTAACTGGCAGGTTCACTTAAGCTGTCTCCACAAAGAGTAATCTCACTAGCACATGGGATTGTACATTGCTTGCTTTCTGACATCCCTGATACATGGAGGTAGCTTCCAGTAGGCTCTTAGGAATATGCATTTAATTCTATTCTCTGAACTTTTAATATGTTGATGATGAAAGGTTAACCCAGGTGCTCAGGACCAGATGCAATATTCCAGATGAAGTTGAACTTAAGTTTATATGGTGTTACAACCAGTGATGAGGGGTCAGCAAGAGATATGGTCAGTGTGAGGAAACTTCAACAGTGTGAGATAAATACTGAGTGACCTGAGTATACCATTGGCAAATTGGTTCAAAGTGGAAAGTTGCTGCAAAAGGGGACAGAGGCTCTCTAACTAGGGTTTACTGCAAAATGTAAACCCTCTGGACTGAGAGATGAGTGGAAGAGGATAAAAGGTGTGGAACAACTACCTGCAGTGAGACTAGTGGTGGAGAGACGTCACAAACTATGATGTGACATAAATGTGGGGCAAAAAGCTGATTGATGAGTAGGAATGCTGAACATTTCTAGTCTTTAAAATAAATTCTTCAGTTTAGGTCTCCAATGCTTTTTTCTTCTCTCTTTAAAAAAAAAACTGGTTGTTACTGTTGATTTTTTTCCTCTTTAGTTTATGAAAATGAAATATTGCAACAAAGCGTAAAGCCCAAGGAATTTAGAGCAAGTAAATTAAGTCAAATGTGTTGGTAGGCAGGTGATGTGTTGCTGCTGCAACATGTGGAAGCAGCTGGACACTAATATGATCAAGAGCAAATGCATCTGTAGTAACTGTTTGCAGTTTGAGGAGCTGGAATCTGAGCTACAGATATTGCCTCCACTATCTCTTTAGCTCCTTCCTCTAGAACCCCTGGGAGTAGGCCATCAGGTTCTGGTGACTTGTTTGCTTGAAAAGCAGCATGTTTATGTACTTTGTGTCTACAGAAGGCAAGGTTCTCTGCAGCTGTAAATATTCCTATAAACGGTGAATTGAAATAAGCGATGAGAGCCATTTTGTGCAATTTGTGAGGCGTTCCTAACTGGTTTCATTGCTTTTGGATAACGTGTTAATTTCGGCTTGGCTGCTGTTGTCTAATCCAGACTGATTTCCTGAAACTTTGCTACTTTTATGTGGTCAAGTGATGCCTTGGCCATTTTAAACTCAGTGTTTTTCATTCCTTTTTAAAACCATTCCAGTCCAAGGAAGACCCAGGTATTAAATTGAACGATGTTGTCCAAAAATATGTAGTCCATATTTAATATAATTGTGATAACAGGTTTACAGTAACTTTCTTGCTTTTGTACCCTATGGCCCTATTTATAAAGCACAGGAACTTCTATGCTTTTTCACTTGTGCTCTCAACATGCCCTGCCACTGTCAATGGCTTGTGCTTCCAATTCCAGCTGCTCTTGCACCCCTTTAGAATTTGGCCCGTTATGTTGTCTCTCCCTATTCTTCCTACCACAAAGAACGTCTTTGCACTTCTATTACATTATACCTGTCACTTGTCTGCCCATTCCACCAATCTGCCTATGTCTTTTAAAGTTTAGCACAGAAGTTGGAATTTAGGAATAAGAAGGGAGTTCAGACAAGGGGCACGGGATTTATAAACGATTCCAATGGGCTGAAGGCAACAAGATCCTTTAATGGAGAAAGGAAAGAACAAGATGTGAGGAAAGGGTAACTGGTGTTCAAAACAACGTAAATGACTCAAAGGTCTATTGTTGAGCTTCATTGTACTTGCAATGGACCTCATCTGTTTGTTCCTACTTAGGAGGAATGAAAGTTTCCTCGTTATGTCCGGACATGTTAGCACATATGCAGGAGGTTCCCCCCACTCCATTGCTTTGAGTGCCTTATAGTTTGGGTAGTTAAGCTATTGATGAAAGCTGTAGACGTGGCTTTGAAAGTTCCTACTGCCATTGTTTAAGGGGCTTGTTAGTTACTTTATTGAATTGAGCACAGCATAAAGAATGCATTTCAGTCCATGGGCAGGTTCCCTTGCAAAGCTTGAAATTTGATTCTTCAAATTTTTACTGACACAATTAAATGATATTCACAGTCATTAGATTATTCATAAAATAATAGTTAAATAGTGCTTAAAGGAAAAGTAAACATTTGCTCTAAGAGTTCCCTCTATAGGGCATGTCATTCACTTTTGATGTCACTGCTGTTACATAACTGCAGATTCATTCGAAGTAAAGCTCTACATTAAACTTTAACAACTTTTGCCAGTGCTTGAGCCCAGAATAAAATTCAGCACATAGCTATTATCTCATGTACATGGAATGTGCCGTTTATTCCAGCTACAGTTTGAGAGACAACACCCACATGAAATCACTATGTAATGAGCTGCTGGCAGAAACAGTCTCCAACTACTGTCTGCCGGCTCCCCTCACCAGTTCACTAAAACACCTGTAGCCATGGCAATATCCTTGCCATAATTGCCACTAAGTATTGTGAAACATGAATAGGCCAAATAAAACCTGTTTTTGTTGCTGTTGTTGAGTGCCCATGGCTTTTGCAGAAACAAATGTGGTACATAATCCACATGGAACTTAAAACATGAGCTTTTAATAAAACTGAACTAAAGAAACCTGCACAAGATCATATTGTAATAACAATTATACATCTTTGACTCTACTTCAACATTTAGTCATCAACTTGCAATATCACATATATTGGATCAGTATCCAACTCTAAATATCCTGAATAGTTATTTCAAACTACTTATTATTGTCCTTCATCAACTTTCACACAAAAGTTAAACATCAACATTAAGATCCTGGAATGATGCAAGTGAAGTTGTTGAAAATTGTTCTTCAACAAATCAGGAAACCTGTCTAACTCTGTTGTGATGTTGGGTAGAGTACTTGTGGAATAAGAGGCAAGAAGTTAGAATTTGGTGTTTGTAAAATCTTACAGTGGAAAGCATTGCATGGTCCCTTTAAAAGATGATGTGCCTTTTCTATGCTTGGTGAGTTAAAATAGATGTCTATGAGCAGCAGCTTGAATGTTTGCAAGTATGCAGAGAGCACCGAATTCAAACACTTGTATCAAAAGGCCATACAGTTAGCTGGCCAAGCAGCAGTTTTTACCAAAACAACAAGTTTTGAATTTAGCCAATCAATTTGAACCAGGCAGTTAGATACCAAAAACCAATTAAATTTAAAGGTTTTGTCAATATAGGACCAATCTTAGTGTAAGAAATTGATATGTCATCAAGAGTATAAAAGAGGAGGGCAGTTGGACAAAAATAGGAGAGCTAACAGCCATCTGCCAGAGTTAATAGCCCTCAGCTCTCAAAAGTCAATCACTGGCACTCTCAGTCTCCTCTAAGTCTTAAAGAAAGCACCATCTAAAGTAAAGGTACCAATGGCACAACTAGTTAACATTCCTGAGAAGCAAATTGATGGAGAAGGGATTCCTGACAGAAGAATTGAGAGAGAAGGCACAGAGCATTCTGGAAGACATGTAGCTTGGCTATATTTTTGAGAGACTAAATTCTTTTTTTATTTTTAGGTAAATAGGATTTGTTTTTATTGGAACAGCATACCATTAGACTCTTGCTCTATTTGGGAATAGTCCCTAATTAGAAGGCATTTATTCGGTTTGTTAATAGTTTAGTTAATTTCTTCATTGTTAGAGTTAAATAAATTGTTACTTGTTGATTTTAAAGTGAGTGTCAGGGATTCATTTTAATTAACCACTAGAAGTTACTGAAAAGCAGTTTACCCTAGTTTTCACACTCTTTTTGCAGATTATAGGGCGAGGTGCTCCACTTTGGTGTTAGTTCTCAGAGGAGGGTCAACCTCTGCTTTATATCAATTCCAATATTCCATAGGTTTCCTTCATGATTAGAATAATTACTCTGTGGGACATATGTGGGCTTGACTATGTTTACTGTGCAAACCAGATGATGTTGCCTGTGATGACCACAATGAGGCTCAGAGACCTGATCTGTTTTTGATTGGACCCCATAAGCATGCTGCCAAGCATATGCGAGTGCTCAACATTGCTTCAAGGCAGCTTGTGATCACAGAAGCTGGGTAATAGGCCAAGTCCTACTCCAGGCTTGCCAATGTTATAAACCAGTAGGATTGCAGGAGAGGAATCTGAGAGAAGCTGTCTAAAGATGGACCATAAGTACATTCCTGCGCCTTCCGATGGCACAAAAATGAAGTCAAAGAGAAAAAGGGCCTATTTTTTGCAGTTCTGCAGTGACCCCTTTAAAGACACCACTAAGGCTGCTGCACACCATAGGTCAATGAGTGAGGCATGTATGTATGACATCAATTGGTCCATAAAAAATAATATTAGGGATGTTGGACTTGATTTAAATATGGCTTGCACAGGATTGCTGGCTGCCTTGTTCAAGGTCCACCCAACAGAATTTGAGCAGAATCTGAACCTTGTTGATAATTGTGCAGCTGCTTCTCTGTTCTTGCCAGGAAATGGGGTGGAGACTCTTTGAAAATTGCCCAAATTGTTTTTAATAATACAACATTCACTAACTTCTGCGTACAGGGTCTTCCAAAGTTAATAATGGTAAATGTCAACAAAGTCTTTTGTTTTGCAGGTCAATGGAATAAGTCTGCAAAATGTTACCCATCATGAAGCAGTGAATGCCTTGAGGAATTCAGGGGCTGTAATTAAGATAATAATTTTGAGGGACAGAGATGTGACAAGTGATGCCACAGTTACTTCTGACTCAAACAATGGTGAAATAGATATCATAAAACCTCATCAGACTGAGCAGTCCTGCTTTATAACTCAGCCATCTGCCATCCACCAGCAACTCAAAATTGGCAATTTCTTTCTTGAAGGAAAGGCAGTATCTACGTGCAATGCAAATAGCTTAGTAAGTAAAGTTTGTGCATCTGAATGAAGTGAACTAATTATGACCTTGGTGATGTTATTGTTCCACCCATTCCATTTCCTCTACCATACATACCCTTATCTTTTAAAGGTTCATTGAATACAACCAAATGAGCATTGGTGTGCCTTAGCATATACACATATGAATCTCTTCATATGCATGCTGATTTTAGGGAATTATTGAATAATAGTTGAACAGGGAGTTTTCAAGGACAATGTCACAGAAAACCACCTTCGCAGTACATAAGAACTGGGAGCAGGAGTAGGCCATCTGGCCCCTTGAGCCTGCCCTGCCATTCAATAAGATCATGGCTGATCTTGTTGAGACTCGGCTCCACTTGCCCGCCCGCACACCATAACCCTTAATTCCTTTACTGTTCAAAAATTTATCTAGCCTTACCTTAAACACATTCAGCGAGGTAGCTTCAACCGCTTCACTGGGCAGGGAATTCCACAGGTTCACAACCCTTTGGGCGAAGAAGTTCCTCCTGACCCCAGTCCTACATCTGCTTTCCTTTATTTTGAGGCAATGCCCCCTAGTCCTAATTTCACCTGCTAGTGGAAACAACCTCCCTGCCTCCACCTTATCTATTCCCTTCATAATCTTATGTGTTTCTATAAGATCTCCCCTCATTCTTCTGAATTCCAATGAGTATAATCCTAGCCTACTCAGTAAAATCAGACAGTTCAAAGAATGAATAAAAACCGAAAGAACTGCGGAGGCTGTAAATCAGGAACAAAAAACAGAAGTTGCTGGAGAAGTTCAGCAGGTCATAGAATCCCTACAGTGTGGAAACAGGCCCTTCGGCCCAACAAGTCCACACCAACGCTCAGAACATCCCACCCAGACCCATCCGCCTCTCACCTACCTAATCTACACATCCCTGGACACTATGGGCAATTTAGCATGGCCAATCCACCTAACCTGCACATCTTTGGACTGTGGGAGGAAACTGGAGCACCCGGAGGAAACCCACGCAGACACAGGGAGAATATGCAAACTCCACACAGACAGTCACCTCACGGTGGAATCGAACCCGGGTCCCTGGCACTGTGAGGCAGCAGTGCTAACCACTGAGCCACCGTGTTGCCTGTCTGGCAGCATCTGTGAAGAAAAAAATCAGAGTTAACGTTTTGGGTCTGGTGACCCTTCTTCAGAACTGATGGTAGCTGGGAACATGTTGGTTTAAATGCAGAATATAGGGAGGGGGGTGGGGTAGGGAGTAAACGATAGGATAGAGCCCAAAGAGAGAGAAGAGTAGTTGGATAGATAAAGGAGTTGATAACGATCTGGCTAGGAGGGTGAGTAGTTATTAATGGGGACTGTTAGTGACTAACAATAGGTAGTGTGTAGTGGCAGTCTATGTGATAACAAAGCCTGGTGTGTAGCGTAGGGGGCTAGGACATGGGAGAGTTTCGACCTTAAAATTATTGAATTCGCTATTGAATCCAGAGGGCTGCAGAGTCCCCAAGTGGAAAATGAGGTGTTGTTCTTCCAACTTGCGCAGTGCTTTGCTGGAACACTGCAGTAAGCCTGAGATGGAGAGGGAACAGGGCGGCGTGTTAAAGTGGCAGGCAACAGGTAGCACAGGATCTTTTTGGCGAGCGGAACATAGACGTTCTGTGAAGCGGTCACCCAGTCTACGCTTTGTTTCTGCAATGTAGAGGAGACCACATTGTGAGCACCGAATGCAGTAGACTAGATTCTGGGAAGTGCAGGTGAAGTGTTGCTTCACCTGGAAGGTATGTTTGGGCCCTTGGATACCGGGGAGGGAGGAGGTAAATGGGCAGGTGTTGCACCTTTGCTGGTTACAGGGGAAGGTGCAATGGGGCTGTGGGTCGGAGGTTGGTGTTGGAGGTGAACAAAGAGTGGACCAGACGGAACGATTTCTACGGAAGTTGGACAGGGGAGGGGAATATGTGTCTAGTGGTGGCATCTTGCTGGAGGTGACAGAAATTCAAAGATTTGAGTTTGTGGTAACCTGCTCTGCACAGCTTGAAGTCACGTTTTCTTGTCTGATGAGGGAAACCAGAAATAGTGAGGTTGTGAAAGAAGAGTTCCACGCAGTTCAATAGATAGGTACAATTGTACTTCCATTTCCTAAATCCGAGTAAAACTATTCTGTGGTAGCCCTTTGAGTGAGTTTTCTTTTCTGTTCATTCTTTGCCAAATCCACAAGGTGGCGCTGTAGACAGTCCTGTCACTCTTGGGTTAGTCCCCTTGCTATAACTCTTCAATGTATGGACAAAATGAGAAAAAGTCGGAAGAGATAAGGTCTTCAATTTCATTAAATTTCATCAAAGAACAATTTTCTTTTACAGACTCTGACAAATGTATGTGTGTGAGACAGATATATAAATGCCTCATTAACTTTTCCTTTAATATTTTAATGTCAGGAATCTGAATCTGTAACGTTGAAGAACCACACCACTAAATCTGCAAGTGAGATGCCGCTAAATAACACCTCGTTCTGTATTGTGAACCACGCAATGCCAGTAAGTAGCAACTTTTTCCTACAATTTTGAGGCATCAAGAAAGAAATGGTACAAATGTTTAAAATGTTAATAAAGGAAGCAAAAACGACATAAGGTAAATTCATTCTCATGCAGTGAGTGTTTAGCAGCCTGGAATAGACTTGTTTGAGTGCGTAGTGGTTGCAGGTTCAACAATCACATTCAGAAGAGAAGTAGATGATTATTTGAAAGGGAGCACTGTGCAGGTTTATAGGGAGAAGTCAGGAAAATTGTGCTAACAGAGCAGCTCATTTGGAGAGACAATGCCGACAGAATGGCTAAATAGCCTCCTTCTATAATGTAACAATCCTGTGAATTATAGAAATATCCCACTATTAGTAACGACTATAAAAGCTCTGACTTTGTGTTTTGGAAGACCAATAATTTAAAAAAAATTATTAGCCTAGATCTTAAAATATACAAGTATACTGTATACAGTGTTAGGTCATTGTAGGTGCTGTATCAAAAATGGTTCAAGGCATAATTATCCCCAACAACAATTTCTACTTTTGAATCAGTTGTTAAATGATCTTCGTAGTCAAATATGGCTCGTGCTCTTTGTTTCAAAATTTTCAGCAGTCCTCATATGAGCTTAAACTGTACTTGGCAACATGGGATACTCTAGCCAAATCTAATCAAACCCTTAAACATGGTGCGTACGCTAAGTATATTTCCACTATGTGGACATTACAATCAAATTCGATGACTGAAATGGAAGTAGAAAATTGAGCATTAAAAGGGGAAAAACAAACTATGCTTTCAATCTAACCAGCAACACCACTAGAAACTGAAAAGTCAGTTAGCATCATTAGAATTGGAAAATAAATCAGAGAAAAATTACAGCAGAAGAAATATTAAAACAATTTAAAAAATGAAGAAAGCAAGGACTATAGCAATTTATGACCAATGGTGTATTTTTGGCTGCCTTGTTCTTTTGTGAGGGAAATTTCCCCATACAAAATAAAATTGTAAACTTGTTCATTACAGTTTTATGCATTTGTTGCATGAATTCCTCCATTGCTATCTTGGGATAGGACTTTAAAATTGTTCTCAAACAGCTTTTAAAGTGTATTATTAATAATGCAGTTTTCAAACAAGGCAAGTCAACACTTTGGGAGACGAGTTCCATTTTCCTTTAGTCCAATGGTTAGTTCAATTCATCACCAGTTCCTAGCACAACTCCCAGTCCTTGACCAGAAATCTTATTCAAATTAAACAATCTCACTTAAGCGGGTAAAGTATGGAGAAGGAGTAGAGAAATTGAAACAAGCATAAGTCACATAGGGTGACAATAATAGGATTGGCTAGACTAATTTCTCTCTTCCAACTGAAGAAGTTTACAACAAATGGGGGGAACCAATCTAATCACCACCTTGCTCCCTGGCCAACATCTCTGTCTCCGGCTTGCTACAGTGTTCCAGTGAAGCCCAGCGCAAGCTGGAGGAACAACACCTCATTTTCCGCTTGGGGACCCTACAGCCCTCCGGACTGAATATTGAGTTCAATAATTTTAGGGCCTAAACTCTCCCATGTCCCAGCCCCCCACCCCACACACCAGGCCTTGTTACCACATAGCCTGCCACTACATACCCCCTGTTGTTAGTCACTAACAGTCCCCATTAACAACTATTCACCCTCCCAGCCTGATCGTCAGCAACTCCTTTGTCTGTCCTACTGTCTCTCTGTCTCTTTGGGCTCTATCTTATCGTTTACGCCCTACCCCACCCACCTCCCTATTTTCTACATATACACTGACATTTTCCCAGCCACCATCAGTTCTGAGGAAGGGTCACCGGATCTGAAATGTTAACTGTGTTTTCTCCTCCACAGATGCTGCCAGACTTGCTGAGCTTTTCCAGCAACTTTGTTTTTGGAACCAATCTAATGTTTGTGATGTAGATTTCTTTAACTCTAAATTATGAAATTAATAACAGTAAGAATCTTGATATTGCTGATGCATTGCTCTGTACTACTTAGATGATTTTCTATGTTAGATGAGTTTTGCCATTCTAGGGGATCTGGAACATATTAAATGAGAGCAACATTGTTTAAATCTTAAGTATAGAGATCAAAACCAGTTTGAATTGAGGTGCTACAGTTTTTGCTTGGCAGCTATAAAGTCTCAGTCCAGGTACTATTTTGGAGTAGTTCATAATGAAAAATTGTCCATAATTATATCCAATCTGAGTAACCTTGCACAAGGTGGCCATGAGGGGAAGAATAATTTGCATCCAAAGTGTCTGTCAAACGCTAGACTTGAAACAAATTATTGGCGCTATCCAATGAGAGCTCTGAACTGGAATTCCTCTGAACATACCTGATTTGTGTAATGGTTATTGAGAATCCTAGATGGATAGAGTGGATAGCAAAGCATTCTTCAGCATTATCCATCCATACTTGATGAAACCAATTCAAAATCACCATCCTTTCTGCACTGTTTGTTGTTTGTTCAGATGACCTTAACCAGTGAGAAATTTATGTGACTTTGTGGAGTGTAACGTATATAATAACAAAACGGTTTATTCCCTTTAACTCTTTGAGGTGAGAAAATGGCTAAATGATTTGAAAACTAATAATATAATAGGTGGGTGTGAACACTGAATTGATCTATCGTTATTGCATTCTCACATAACTATGCCTTTGCTCTGAGCTTTTCATCTTTTTTAGATTGATTTCAGGCTGTGTCCCTACGATCTCCAGCCTCCTCATTAAATCCCTCAAGGAGGGCAATTAAGAATGGAGATGCACATTAGAAAAATATTAGTGTACAGTAAACTGATTTTAAAAGCTGTTGTTTGAAATTAATTCAAATTTGTAGTATTTCTTCATTGCCTTCAGTTGTGTATAATTACTTAATTATTTTAGATATCTGATTATTTCTTTCTATTACATGTTGTTTAAATATCACCACCTTGATTTTAATTTTTTGCTTTCTCCTTTTGTGTATTTCATTTTGTTCCCTCATATTTGTTCCTGATTTTCATGCTTCATCACTTCCTGTCTTGATCCTAACTCTGCCCTCAAGATGCCACGCATTATCCTTACTTGCCCTTCTTCTTCAGATGAGGAATTGGAACAGTTAACACGAGAGCAGGGTGCCTACGGCTTAGAGGAACTTGAGAACTCAGACAGCAGTGGCTTTTTAGGCATTTTATCCCCTTTAATCACTTACTGTGAAGAATAAACATTTCCCCCAAACATGCACCATTTTCAAGTAGACCAGATGGCCTTACTACTTCTATACATCATTAGTTAAAGGGGCCTTTCTGCAGGAGGCAAAATTAGCACTTGACATATAATGGATGGTTACATTGTTGCACTTCAATCATGGTTTTTGTTTTCTGGAAATTTGGTTGGTCATGTATTAAAGTAACAAAAATGGAAGCTGGCAAATTAAATCATGTGACTGACTGAAAAATGGTAAAGTTCAGTTTGTTTTAACTGAAGTGCCCACGAACTACTTAAAACAATTAAACCCCCATGCATCTCCTGGTTAGGAAACACACTACCTTGTTTGTAACTGTGGCATATAGGCCTGGAAGATCCTTGATCCTTGTTCACAGCTCAGGCCCGAGCTGAGATGACTTAGTTGGTCTTAGTTACCAATGTGTAAGAGAAAATTTGTCAAAAATTCTTCTGGTTGTTTACTGTCTGTTGATTTTTTGCTGGAAACCTGTGCTTTGTAGCCATAGTATGAGGTCAGGATTACTTCTGACATTCGCTACCCCGTCACCACTGCCAAAAAGCCTGCGAAATTGGCTGAACCTTCCTAAAGAATGGATATTGTAGAGATAGGGAGAAAATTGGAGTGAAAATAAATTCAGATCACAAGATAAACTTAGCAGTTTTAATCAATAAATCACAAGCAAAATATAAATATAATGGGAATTACGGACTATCTTTCATTTCTTTTATCCTGGGATGTCATTGCCCTTCAATATTGCACCAAAATTGAATGTCTTTTTCTTTCAATAAAATATAAATGCCTAAAACATTGACTGTGCCTTCAGTGTGAAGTCATTTGAAAACAATTTCTTTTCTCATTAATTTAAGATTGATCTCCCTGCCACCTGTACAGTAAGCTCCTTTTCTACAGAGCTGACAAAGATCCATTCAGAGAATTCATGCCTGCACGCAATTAATGTTGTTATGGTTCATGATTTCAAGATAAAGAAGGGAGACACTAACATGGAGTAAACAGCGACATGTTGCAAAATCAGGGAGGGAGAATTGAAGTGTATGAGATTATAAACTAAAGTGGAATTGAACTGAGTTGGAGTCTTGACAGTTGCACCACAACTACTAACTAGATTGAGGCATTTAGGAGGAAACTGGACTCATTCCTGTTTCATCAGGGTGTGGAAGAGGGAAAATATGAAAAATTAGTCAGCATGTGTCCTGAAACAGGAGCTGGAGGAAGGGGCAGAGTGGATGGTTTGAATTAGCCTTTCTCATTCCTCTGCTCTTATATTACAGTTTAAATTCACCTAGTAACCAACCATGTATACACAAACAGATGTTGGCTGCACTAAATAGCTCACCAGATTTTTCTTTTGAGTTCTAGGAATTATTTTCATTGCATAAAGAATGTCATGAAGTAACTGAGAATGAAGGTAAGGCAAATGTCCTTCCCTCCAGGTAAATATACAGGCCTGATGTGCGACTGCACCATGCGGAGCAGGCCCAAAGTTCAACTTCTGGTTTCTGCTGATTTAGCTGATGTCATTGCCCAATTGGAAAGACAGGGAAACGGAACCAGGCAATTTGTTCTTTGTGCATGTATGCGTGTGGATCTTGAATGTGGATGGATTTGGATTGAATTATGGCAGTTGGATAGACTGCAACCTTTCCTGTTGGTGAGTACAGTGGTCCTAGTGGAACTGCATCTGCACAAGTTAGTTTCAATGGCAGAATAGTCGAGCCAATTGCATTTGAATTTAAAAAAGCTCTAAGAAAGTAACTAAGAAAAACCTTTTGCCAAC